TAATGTGGAACTTGGTATACGGGTTAAGCTACAGTATACGCAGCTGGTCGTGGTATACGGGTTAAGCTACAGTATACGCAGCTGGTCACGGTATACGGGTTAAGCTACAGTATATGCAGCTGGTCACGGTATACGGGTTAAGCTACAGTATACGCAGCTGGTCACGGTATACGAGTTAAGCTACAGTATACGCAGCTGGTCATGGTATACGGGTTAAGCTACAGTACACGCAGCTGGTCATGGTATACGGGTTAAGCTACACTATACGCAGCTGGTCATGGTATACGGGTTAAGCTACAGTATACGCAGCTGGTCATGGTATACGGGTTAAGCTACACTATACGCAGCTGGTCATGGTATACGAGTTTTATTACCAGATGCAATTTTATCTTACAAATAAACAATGATGTATAAAGTTTGGCAAGCTACATCGATGGCTTCGCACACAAAGGTGAAACGAGCAGAACTACCCATATAAAGATGAATTAATACCCAAGGACTATTCGATGACGAGGAACCCTCTTTGATACTAATAATGCCTGGAGATGGGTTGAATTCAAGCCGTCTCCAGGCATTATTAGACCCAAGGACTATGTTTACACTTAACAATACATCAAGCAAAACAATCCCTCATTGAACACAACTATATATTGATTTACGTCAAGTGTCACAGTTTTATAAAAATAGATATGTGAATGTTGTTAATTCTTCAGTGCGATTAAACTAAAATGGTAAAAAATACTTTCATAGAATTCCTAAACCAATTCAAGATCATTTAAGATATTTAATAATACATATGAATGATGTCTTTTCACTTGAGTTCAGCGTATGGTTAATATCAAATAATTTCATTTGTTGCCCCATATTTAGAAATGTCACCAACCAAATTATATAATATATATATTCATACAGAAAGCATATGAGATATTTCTAATAAAAAATTGACATTGTAGAACGTTCTTTTGCCATTATTTAATTACACCACTAGCGTATTGTAGTTCATTTTCTTTTTGATTAATTACTTTTGATTTACTCTTTCAATATTTTTAATGATAAGCAATGATTTGACATGTTGCACCTACGACAGTAAGGTATTTAGAATATAGCGTTCTTAACAGTGTTAACTACAACAATACAATATGAAATTAATTTGTTTGTTTGTAAGTAAGCACAAAGCTACACAATGGGCTATCTGTGCTCTGCCCACCACGGGTAT